CAGCCCTCAATGAAATCGAGTTTAACACCCCTGCTTTAGAACATATCTAAGGACACTTCAAAAGGTGGGGTTTGGATTATGCTTTTGAGCCGGTACGGAGTCTCATGCCAAAATGTAAGTTAGTGGTGTGAGAGCTCCCTGTAATAGAGCAAGAAAAAAAGAAATGCAACGCTTCATATAGAATTCTCAACCATGAGACTTTGAAGCCTGCGATTTTTGTATTTTGTTTCCCCCACATCTCTTTTCCTGCCGTGTAATGCATTCCCTCCTTCGAGTTGTAAAACCCAAGGGTCATGCAGGAACAGCGAAGGTAGAGAAGTGCTGATCACTCCGTCCCACCTTCTCCTCCAAAAACAGTGACCTACTTTCATTTTGCAGCATGGGAGAGACAAACTGCACAGCTAGCAACTATGCTGCCTTCAAATAGTCCGCTGCCATTGAAGGAGCAATCAAGACATCCTTGAGTTCCATGTCACTGTAGACAGCTAAGTCCGCCAGGAGATCTTGACCTTGGTACCTTCTTTGGTCTCCTTCCCCTCTGCCCAACATAGAGCTGCTGAATCGGAAGCTACTGCCTTCTCCATCAAGTTCTTGCTGATTCTCATCTTTTCCATACGTTTAGCAACCCTTCCCTACTGATATTGCCCAGCGTGATGAATTGTCGTTCCCCTGGAGAACATCTGTTTGGAGCAGCCTCCATTAACCTAGTAAAAGTGATCATCAAGACGATTTTGGATACTGTCTGTCTTAATTTAGGACAAAAGCAAATAACCCGCTATGACTTTGAGAAGTTTTGCTGTGCCGCGGAGGATTTTCTGGGTAAGCCCATTTTCTCATCAAGAGTTTTTAGCTTGACTTTTTAAGTGACCGCTGTGTTAATGCTGCAGCCTGGGGAGACACATGGCATAGCCAAGGCTGGAGGAGGCAGGGGAGAGGGGAGGAGGAAAAGTAGGGCCACTAATGCAATCACACTTACTTGTTGACTAGCAGGAAGTTCCCAATCAAGCTCAGGACCGAAGGCACAGTGGAAGCCACAGAAATGTAGCTTTCAAAGAAATTCTAGGAGGGAGAAAAAAAGAGAGCATCAAAACAGAGTTTTAGAAACTGTACTGCAAAAGGGACAAAGATGTGAGTGACCCAGTGGCTTAATGGATAAGGAATCAGCCTCCAGAGCTGGGGATTGTGGGTTTAAGTCCCGTTGGTCTTGTGTTGTTTGTCCAGAACAGGGCTTGGCAACCTTAAACACTCAAAGAGCCACTTGGACCTGTTTCCTACAGAAAAGAAAACACCGGGAGTCACAAAACCCTTCCTGTGTCTGATTATTTCCTGAGCGGCCACAGAACTAGCATATGTAGTTGAATTGAATGTTTTGTTTTCTTCTGAAACTTTTCTTTTCTTGGATTTATCTATGGTTGGCCTGCCGGGGATTAAAAAAGCTCAAAAAATCACGTGCCGGCAGGTATCACACATTGGCCGTTGTGACGCATATTTTGAGCGACAGGGAGCTGCATCAGAGGGATGAAAGAACCACATGCAGCTCAAGAGCCACGGATTGCTGACCACTGGTCCAGAATGATGCAAGGTCTTCTGCTTGAGCAGGAGGTTGGATTAGAAGACCTCCAAGATCCCTTCCAAATCTGTTATTCTGTTATGACCTCTCCCCAGATCTCTCCGTCACAAACCAAATCTTTCACTGAAATCCCAGGACCCAAGATCCCGTTTTCATGGCATTTTGAAACTCACAAGTCTGTAGAAGTTGCACAACGATCAAACCACAAACTTCAATCTAGCTGAAAAGTGGGCGGGTAACTATTAATAGGCAGTTGGGTAGAATATCAATCATATGACTGTCTACAACACAAATGAAAAAGGAGAACTTCTCCCTCCCGTGATCAGTAATGCACACTATGCGAATTGTAGCATTAAAACTACAATAGTGCTCTACAGATGGGGGGGGGGGGATCCTGCTAATGACCAGAGAAGCCCTCATACATCAGGATTGGCTTGGAATAAACTTACATTTCCTCCAGGAAGTTCTGAAGCTGCATTCAGATCTCTATTCTCCTACCGAATCAAACATCGAATCACAGACAGTACTTAATGTGAATAATTAAATGCTTTAAGACTCTCCGAGGCAAACCTCCTCTTATTTACTGAGGAAACACATAGTAATGTCTTTTGTTTTTGTGAATTTCATTACAGATGTGTCCACTTGGTTATCATGAAGATTATATTGGGTTTGAGGAAGGAGTATAACCCTTCCCACTAAAGCCATGATAACCTTGAAAAAAGTCCCCTTCTGTGGCCATTATCAGAAGGTAAAGCTACCTGGAGTGATTGAGATTGGGTGACCTAGAAATTGTATGTATGTATGTATGTATATATGTATGTATGAATGAATGAATGAATGAATATCCCCTTCAAACTGAGCTCCACTCTTGATGATAATTGGCGAGTCAACTTCCTATCTTCAATGGCTGCAAATTTCAATAACATTTGGTTTTCTTGCAACAGAAAAGGATGGAAGAAAAAGAAATAGACAGACTTCTCCAAACTTTGAATACTGTTTCAGAGATCAAGGACAATTGCTGTCCAGCAATCAATTCTAATCTTCTAATACAACCTATTCAAAAAGTAAGGCCTAGCCTGATTTTCAGAGGTGGTGGTGTTTAAGCCTAATATAAGCCCTACCCCAAAAATAAAACCTAGTGGAGGAGGTGGGCATGGCCAGCCCAGGAGGCAGGCCTTCCCTAGTCACCTTATGGCTGCTCGGCCAATTAACTGCAGCCTGCGGATCAGCTGATCCACTCTTGCCACCGCTAGCCCTGTCGACCTGGGACTGGGGGGAGGGGGATCGGCACTGGAGCTCCGAGCAGTGGCTGGTGCAGGCTCTGTCTGTACCGCCATGAAGCTAGGGGTGGCAAGAGTGTGCCAGAAACATCTCCAGGCGCCCAGTGACACAGAACTTCCAGCCCTTGCTGGATCAGCTGATCTGTGGGCCACAGTTAAGAGGCCAAGCAGCCATGAGGTGATTATGCTCCCCGCCTCCTGCATCCCCCCAAAATAAGACCTCCCCGAAAAAAGCTTAGCCATTTTTTCCGGGGTCCACAGAAAATAAGACCTGGTCTTTTTTTCAGGGAAACATGGTACATACATGAGAGGGGGGAGGGGGAGAGACAGAGAGATGATAGATAAAGAGATAGTTAGTGTACACTATATGAATACAAGGGGATTAAATGGATTTATTAAGGTTATATTAAATTATACTTTGGGTTTTATCTGGTCTTCCTCACTTGGGGCTCCAGGTTTTCTCGACTGTTGAAGTTCGAAGGAACAGATGAGTCAGCTGAGGTAAGCGAACAGCTATTTATTGAGTAACAGCAACAGTTAACTATATACAGAGAGAGTTCAGCACCTCGCCCTGCTTGACAGTTATTTATGCGGGAGCTGTCAAGCAGGGCGACCAATAGGAGTGCCTCTGGCAGCCCACGCTCAGCCAACCGCGTCTTAGCCAATCAGGCGCGGCTAGGCTGTTGCCGGATGTCAATCATAAGTCGAGGACTTGCGGCCGGTTGTAAGTCGAGGACTTTAGGACCGGTCGCAAGTCGAGGACTTAGCATCAACCAAGCCTAGTATTGGTTTTATCCAGAAAAAGATTGTAACTTCCAACTTCCAATGAGACAAGACTAATAAATGCCCATACTTTTCTCTACACTGTGGATTGTGGGAGAAGTACAGTCAAAAAATGTCAGCTGGATATGAGATTCTATTGTGCTATGAGCCATAAATGCAGCCTTTCATGGATTCACGGCTGGGGAATCCTGGGAGTTGAAGTCCATACTTCTTAAAGTAACTAAGGTTGAGAAACATTGTCATAGATCACTACACATTGGCACGTTATGAGTCAGACAGTTCAGGAAATATTTTTACATCTCCTGACTTATTTATGGGTTGGGAGGCCTAAACATCAAGCAAGCTGTCCCAAGCCCTGTTGCGTAATTCCCCCAGACTTCTCTTCATTCATTCAGGACAGGGGTGTCAAACTCAAGGCCCACAGGTCGGTTCCGGCCCACGGGGTACTTAAATCCGGCCCACAGGGCTGGCCTGGAAATGGTGCCTCTAGCGGCTAAAACCGGCCATGTGCGGGGCCCCTGTGCCTCATTTTCACCCTCCATGGCCTCCTGCAGTACTCTGCTGCCCAACAACAGGCCTGAAAATAAGGCCAAAAACAGGCTGAAAACAGGCCAAAAATGCCCCCAAAACAGGTCCAAAAACCGGGGTGAAAACAGCCTGCGCACAGCCATTTTTAACTAGCAAAGTGTTGCATGAGGCCATGGAGGGTGAAAATGAGGTGCAAGGGGGCTGCACACTGACCCCGCATGCCCTGTTTTGGCCGGCAGAGTGCTGCAGAAGGCAGGCATTCTGTAACACACACACACCCCCAAACCAGCCCATGGAGAAAAACTACAATATTGATCTGGCCCTCAAAGAAATCCATTTTGACACCCCTGATTTAGAAGAATAGGAACATGCAAAATCCTGATGTGTGAAAAGTTTGCTTGGGAAAAGAAGAAGCTGGCTCAATCGACTTTCCCTGAGGGAAAAAAGTGCTTACATCCAACTCCAAGCTTATCAATGTAATCAAAATCCAAGCAATTTTAAGGATATGGTGATGGGATGGAACCTAATTGCTTCTTCATCCAAACCAAACAATATTGGACTTTTAAGCGCTCCTATGTTTATGCTCCCCAAACAGCAAATATTGTTGGCATCTAGGAAAAGCCAGCCTTGTCCTGCCCAGATGCTTTGGCAAAGTAAAAATTTTAGTCAGCTTAAATTCAGCAGCAGAAGCATCTCTGGGCTCCTGCTGAGCTAAAAAAAAAAAAAAAAGGAGCCGAAGCCCTGGGTGACGAAGTAAGCACCCGAGCGTTACCTGGATCACAGGGCATGAAATTAGCAGTGGCAAGCAGGTTGCAGCCAGGAATACCTCACCGTCGTGAGCTTATCTGCAGATAGCCAAGTTCAGAATCCTCCTCCTAATGACTCTGTGCAAGACCCATGAACTCTTCCCCTCTCTGGGGCTGCCCAGCCAGCTCCAAACCAAGCTGAAAAGATGGAGATTTCCACTGCTAGGAAAACCACCCGCTGCTGAAATTCACCATTAGGTTGACCTGACTTTGAACTGGTCACCCAGCGTTTACTTGGCTTCAAAAGAGATGATAAGGATTGCAGCAGCCAAGACTGCATTCCTTTTTTAAAAAAGGAATTAGTTAGGGACTAATTGGATCGATTATCCACATTTCCTATTAATGAAAACCATTCAGAAAAATCTTTCGATCTAACTGACTAGATCTTGCTAGCTATGCAAAATCTACAATAGTTGCGAGAGTGTCTCAACAATACAATAATTCAAAAGGTAAGTTTTGCATCTCTAAAGCCTCAAATCAGTTTTGCACAGTCTGGACATTCCATAAAGTAATTCTGATACTGTAGAAATGTAATCCCCCAAAATTGAGAATACTGTAAATCAGGTTTACAGGAGAATTGAAGGAATGCCTGGTTTCTTAAAAAAATGACCAAGTTCTTCATTGGAAATGCTTGTCTGTGTAACTCCATCTTCAGAAATATGTTTAAGACATTCCCATTGTTCAGTCCTCGCAGGCTGCCAACACTTCAGAACCAAAAGAAAATACCCTTTCACTTTGTCTCAGGCCCACCTTCCTCACAGAGCTATTGTTTGAGGAAAATAGGAGGAGGAAGGAGTATCATGTATGTTTGCTGCCTTGAGTTACTTCTAAAAGTAATAGAGGTGGGATAAAAAAATAATAAAATCATTATGTTATGTTATGTTATGCCATATTTTCCTGAAAATAAGACCTATTCTAAAAATAAGCCCTCTGATGGCAAAATGGAAGCCAGGGGGTGCAATGCGCGTCAATCCAGAGACCTTTTCTTGGCTGCAGAGGCCTTTCCTGAAGGCCTCTGACAGCAAAACAGAGGCTGGGGCGACGCATGCAAGTGGCGGCAGAAGTGGGCCGGCAGTTGGCTCCTGCTGAGTG